TTTGCACAAAAAGCCACCGGCACCCCACAAGAAGATCGTGCATCTATAAATTCATGAATTTCACTTCTCAAGGTCACGCCCAAGGTCTGCAATCAATGCTCCCTTGAGCATACCCACCTTGGTCTGGGAGACACTGCAGGAAGGGTTCTCTGCCAAGTGCCTCTCCCAAGCCCACAACAAGCATTCAAGAAGTGCCTTGCACTGCGAGACAAATCCCTTTTTGGAAAGGTTGCCCCACGAGCGCGCACAAGAAGCTTTCTGGGAGCCACTTGGTGGATATCTGACCTGCCATGCCTGGATTGTCACATGAACCCCGATGCCCGCACCCTTCACGTGGGGCAATTCTGTCAGATTCAGCTTCTCCAGAAAGACGAAGGCAGGCATGTCCTTGAACGATGCAGAGGGAGGGGCCACGGCAATTGGAGGTGACGGATCGGACGATGAAACACCAGAGGGGCCATCGCAAACAAAGTTCACCCCCGTGGAAAAGTCATACTCAATCTCTTCATCTTCACTCTCACCTGGATTTGCAATCTCCAATTCCACAACCTCATCCTCCTTGTCAGGGTTTGCCTCATTGTGGTCCTGGTTTTGCTCCTGCTCCGGCTTCATGTTTAGCTCCAAGTCCTCTTCTGCTCCCTTGTCGACCGCATTGCACTCAGAAATCATAGCAAGCTGGGCTTCCAGCTCGGGGTCTTCCGTCTCCTGGCCAGGCGGCCAGAATGCACCCTGCAGTAAGCAGAAAAATATAGTTCTGTTTACTGCAGTTGGTTCAAATCTTACATGTTGTCTTCCAAACTTTTCCACGCTACCCGCCCAGCCAAGACTGCAGTAAGCAGATTTGTTTCTGCTTACTGCATTTGCAGCACATTTGCTGCATATTTGCAAATAATATATATATATACAGTATTCATTTATAAGGGTAGAACTTAAAACAGTTGCCATTTGTCCATCTACAGTATTAATATATATATATATATACCCCACACCACCGGCCTGTTTGTCTTCTGTCTTTTGCTTCTTGGCCTTCTTCTCCTCCGACTTGATGCCATCAAGAACGTGTGAGGAAGCGAGGGATAGTGCATCCAAATGAAGGCGCAGTTCCTGAATCTGCCTGGACCGTGCAGTGACAGAGACAATCCTCAGCTGCTTCACATCAGCCTCCTCACCATCAGTCTGAGGAAGTCTCTTCAAAGTCATGTCCTTGACAGAGAGCATGAACACCTCCACATGCTTGCTCACGTTCACTTTGATGCCTTGCTGAGTCTTTGATACCGACTTGTTGTACACATCTGGGGAAACTTCCTTGCCAGTCTTCTTGTATATCAAAACTGCGCTTTCTGAAAATTGCCCAGTCTTCACTTTCTCAAGCTTCGCAGCCGCATTCTTTGTCTTTACATCTGCTTCTCCATACTCTGCCAACCTATGCTGATACAAGACTTCAGTGTCTTGGATGCTTGCGTGAAACCCAGCTAGCTTGTTGTTGAGGATAGCCTGCCAGTGAGCAGGTAGGCATTGCCAGATCTCTTCTTCTTTCTCCCACTGTTCAGCCGTTTCATCCGGTCCATCCGATTTCATTTGCCATAGAAATGAGGTGCTGGAAATGTCTGGCTGGGTCCAAACTTCCTCCATAGAAGCCTCCCAAGCCTGGTTCTCAATGTTCAGCTCGCACTCCTCCATTTGCTTGGTGAGGTTCTCTGGGGTGATTTCAATATCTCCGTTGAAGGTCACCATCTCTTCTTTTGTGCACATGCCTCTGCTCAACCATGCCCACCTGACATATGCAGTAAGCAGATTTCACTCCTGCTTACTGCAGTATTGTTTGTTCATTTGGCTCATGAAAACTGCCGGTGGGGTGGCACAGACACTGCAGTAAGCAGAATTACACTCTGCTTACTGCACCCCTTGCATGGCCACCAAAGGAACAGCAAAAGCCCTACGGTTTGCAAGGATATATATATATATACACACTATATTTCTATATATATATAACTTTGGAACTCTTTCAAACCTGGCCTCAAAACCGATCTGCATTTGGCCAACCTCTTCCACCCGTAAATGGCTGAGATAATGCAATCCTCGTGGGAAAGCTGGTGGTACGGGTTTCCACTAGAAAGCAGCAGTGGGGTTGAAGATGCCTGTTCCAGCAGTCCCGCGCGATAGCCTAGCGATGACTCGTTGTAGAACGCCATGTACTTCCTCAGCAGGGCATGAATTGCATCTGCCGGTTGTCCTCGGGCTGACCAGCCGCCAGGCTGCCTGTCCAGCAACAATACCCGATTCGAAGTGGAAAATGTCTCTCCTTGACGCTGATTGGCCAGCCAGGCTCTCAACAAGACAAAAAGAGTTCTTTAGGGAAAGCAGAATTGAATAGGTTATACATCAAACAGCCAAGCATCTCTGAACATCAGAAGCTCCACCCGAATGATGGCCAGTGAAGGAATCACAAAGGATTAGCCCCCATTCTGTCTCAAATGACCTCCCGTAGCGTTCTGCTAGCAGTGTGCGTCTATGAAGGCCTCAGCAAGGACATTCTCATAGTACAACACCACACTCTCGGCGTTCATGAAGTGGGATGACCGTCCAGAGCTCAAAAAATAGCACTCTGGACTGAAGCGGTTCTTCAGGTCGGCCAGGGCATCGTCGGAGATGAAGCCCAGTGGAAGGACACAGGTCAATGGCCCACACTCCCCATTGCCCCACAGGCTAGTGATGATTGTGATCGAGTGGCGGGAATTCCCCACCAGGTTTGCCCGCGCATCCCTTCCAGTGACTCTTCTTCTCACCACCTTCCAATCACCTTCTCCACCACCCCGAAGCCGCTCTTGAAGATCCATCATCTCTTGTACAGCCTGTGCCCTTTTTCCTTTCAACCCTTCTGATGAGGCTACCTTGAGAAGAAGCCGTTTCGGGTCACTCCAAGTCTGCTTCCACACTTGGTCAAAATTCAGGCACAGGTCCAATCTCACATCTTGGCTGAGACGGGTGTAAGCAAAAGCCTTCCGGCTTTTTTCCATACGTTGGTCCTCGTATGGCAAATATGCCCCACATGTGTTCGGAGCTCTTCTGGTCCAGCCATTCTTCTGACAAAGGCGCTGGATCCACCTTTCTGACACTTCAAGTTTGGGAACTGCTGCATCTGGGTTGATTTCTTTCTTGGCATCCCAATATAGCTTCAGAAGGCGTTCTGCTTCTTTTTTCAAGTTCTTGACGTCCAAGTTCCCACCCGTCAAAGGAGACTCAGCTCCACCACAAGTGACTCTTTCCACAATGGCCACGAGGTTTTTTGCCACACACTCCGGAACCTGCTTGCCTTCCTTGAATCGTTCTAGCCCCCTGCCACCCATTCCCATGGGAATCCTGATCCAGTCTGGAAGTTCACGAAGGCGACGGTCTTTCTCGCTGAGCTTTTCCCAGGGCACCTCTTTCCAGCGTTGTTGCTCACACTGTGTCATCCATCTCCCAAGCATACCGCTCTTGAACCCTTTGGTGGAAGCAAAATATGAAGGGAAACGGGCCATGACAGCCTTCTCTATACCAGATTTTTGCCCTGCTTCCACCAATCTCTCTGCCTCTCGCACTGCCAGGAGCTTGTCATAGATGCTAAGCCGCATTCTGGGGCCTTGATGGCGTCCTTCAGGGACAACCACTAGGATTTACTTGTGCTAGGTGACTATATGTGTATTTGTTTCTATTCAAAACAGTGGAAGCAGTAGATTGCACCCGCCACAATAAGTTTCCACTCCTCTTGGTGTTGGATCCCCACACTCAGCATCGTCATCATCACCTTCATCAGCAGCTTGCTCCTCGGCGATGAAAGGGCTGCAGTAAGCAGAATTAGACTCTGCATACTGCACCCCCCACACAACTTGACAGGACAGTGCAAACACCTACCCGCCAGAACACAGTAAGCAGAAGGGGAGGCGCAGTAAGCAGAATTTCAATCTGCTTACTGCACATAATTTGACATCTCATACAAAACCCGTCCTCAAAGCAAACAATCTGCTGCTCCTCAACGGCAGGAGCAGATTCCTCGGCCCAAACAATCTGCTGGTCATCAACGGCAGGAGCAGCTTCCACTGCCACTAGCTGATCCTCCAATGGTTGATTTATGCAGCTTGGGTGTTTGCTGAGTGCAGCACACCCAAAA